GCATCCAATATTTAACGCAAGATGTGATTGGTCAATGGTGCTTTTCTAGAACAGATCTGACCAATCACGCTCCGCCTTTTACCAATCATGGGTTTTTCCAAAATGTCGTCTGTTCTGGGCTCGAGCCTCTCTGTGAACGAAAAAAGCTACCGTATGTATCCAAATCGGAGATGTTGTACCTTTTAATTGCAATTAACAAAAGAAAAAGATGATTTTCGTGAACGCTGGACCTTTACTTTGTGTTTTCCATCTCCGGAAAGACTTCAAAACTGGAGAAAATGTGCGAATTTTACCTCGTTTTAGTAGAGACTTAAAGTACCGTATATACTCGCCTATAAGTCGGTATATATTTTGGGAGTTAAATATTGGTCTAAAACTCTATGTCCGACTTATAGGCAAGTCATAAAGAGATTGGTATCTTTCTGGAGGGTGAAATATAGTATCTTATTTGCTTTTCCGATGATAATCGAAGAAAATGTCTGGATATATGTGAAAATTAATGCATTCTTAGATTATATAATGAAGTAAAAGTATAAAAAAATTTTTACATATTTTAACGATTTTATCTGTAACAATTTTATCTGTATTTTAAGTGAGCATTGCCTTTTTGTTTAAGATTAAATATCAGTGTCATTTCGAAAAATATTAATTGAAACTAGGTTAAAATATTATGTATTTACTTGAAATTGTCACAAGATTTTGGCAAAAAATTTGTACCGACTTATAAGCGGGTCAATAACAAATCCCTCCAAAATAACGTCAAAAAATACAACCGACTTATAGGCGGACCGACTTATAGGCGAGTATATACGGTACATTGACTCGCACAACGGGATATCGAGTCAGTATTACCCAACTTAAACGCTATAAAAAGTAACGAGGTTTCTGTTTTATTAAAGAATATTTATTGTAGTATGATTTCTAGTTATAATTTAATTGGCTACATTCTTTTTTCTATGAAATACGAAATATTTCCGAGATCGACCCTGTGTAAATTCGGGCTGACGTTGTTTCCCTTTCCTTTTTTGTATATATATAGTGATTACGTAAAATCAAAAACAGTATGTTACCGGCCCCTGTGGGTTAGTGTTATACTAAAGTAATTCTCAAGTTTAAGTAATAAAAATATAGTTAGCATCAGCGTCTATGCAAATATTACAATTATCTTACATTATTGTTCCTCTCTCTCTCTCTCTCTCTCTCTCTCTCTCTCTCTCTCTCACACACACACACACACACAACATCACGAGACAGTTTCAATCCACCTTAATGTAAAGGATGAAGATATCGAATGTACGATCTCCAAAAATTGTCAAGAAGAAGGGCTGAAGAAAACGGACCCCTGGAGATATCAGAGTTGGGATCAGGTGTCTAGGAAGACTAAGCATCCCTCTTGAAAGATCAAACTGGCCGTGAACCCATTTTATTGTTTAAGAACTAAAATTTAAAAAAAAAAAAAGTGCAGTTAAAACATTACAATGTAAAAATAGTTTAAATAATTTCAGTGGAAATTTGACATTCACAATATTAAAATGTACACAGGAAAAGTGGCTCACATAAATTTTTTTTAAGACATTCACATTAATTTCATGTAAATTCTCGGCATGTGACAGAGACAAAAAACAAGACATTTGAAATTTATTTGAAAAATGCAAGTAATTTTGAGAAATTTTTCATTCTAATTTTAAATGAAGAGATATTTATTTTACATGAAAAGCATACCTGGGTATAGAATAAATATCGTGCAAAAAATAAAAAAAGAACTTCACATGAATAAAAAAATGATATAAATGTCATACAAACTTATTCACATGATATTCGCATGAAAATATTTATATAATAATTTTCATATAATTTATATAATGATTTTCATATAATTTTGAAATAAAAGATAATTACATGAATACCATGTTAGCCACATTTCCCTGTATACATTTTTTTGCAGAAAGTTATCGCTACATGTGCACAAAAGCGCAGATGCGTTACAACAAACTGCGATTTCTACTGCTTATTCTTCCAAAACATGGACAAGTATATATATATATATATATATATATATATATATATATATATATATATATATATATATATATATATATATATATATATATATATATATATATATATAAATTCGAAAATCCACATAATTGTTTTATTTATTAAGCCTGGTCATCGTTTGATATAACTTTTATCCTTATCACAGAAAAGAGTGTAACAGTTCATATTTTAAAGTGCACCATGCTGCACTGAAATTATATGATTATGATAGTGTGCATCTGTATATATTAGCACGTGACTTAATCTTTAGGATTACAAGCGATATACATATAAATCCACCTCTCAAATACTCTGATAAGAATAAAAACAACGGTCGAATTTTCTTTTCGTGCAACCTTCCTCAGAAACAATCATCAAATTTGCACCCGACGTACTTTTTTTCCACATAAAATGAAATTTATATTAAACTTTGCCAGGTGTTTATTGCGTTCCTGCCTCACTCCCGACATTTATATCAAAGTTAGAATTACAGTTTTCTGACTTGATAACAATTAATACGTAGCTAACTTGTCCCCTGAACCCACACTGAACGCACCTGTATGTCACGCGACGTGTACCGCCATTGTTTATACAGGTTACTTTGAGTTCCTTGACTACTAAGCGCAAATTATCTGCATGTAAAAATATCGTGTACGAAATGGATGAAGATTTAATTGGAGCCCTACACTATTAATCTTACTTCTGATATCCTCAAATAATACTCAAAGAAATGTTAAAAACTCGTAAAACTCACGCAGAGTTTGCTCGACATCATTTCATAAAAAGTGACAATAATGAGTACGAGCTAATAAGTGCTTGTCTTGGAAAATGAGAGAGGTCGGACAAATAATATTTATATTTCAATCATATATGCATGCATTTTAATCAAGATTGGTTTAAGTGGTTTTATCTGATCACTTGCACGGAACTCGATTAACACTGACCTCTGCAGTGACCAAAGAAGCTTCTAAAGCTCGAGCAGTTGGAACTTGAAAGGAAGGAAACCTCATTCATAATCTAGATTAAATTTTTTTTATGTTACGTAGTTGATATTTTAGTTTTATCTATTAAAAAAATGATTTGATTTCTTTTCAGCGTCGATATTTTTTTTTAGATTCCCATTTGAAGAACTTCCTGACCTTGAATGATACAACTTATTTTGATAGTCACAAGGTAAAACCCGCCAAAGTTTGGTTGTTTGTATTAACAAAAATCTGCATGTATGATATACCAAGAGTATTTAATTAGATATTTTCTTCAGTATAGTCTATATTGAAAGGAAACTTTGAATTTTCGTTTTAATGAGTTTCCGAATTTGATGTATGTATAGTTATTGTCAGACAGAAAATTAATTATATTTTTCATATCAACTTTGAACACTTGTATGCACAATCAGAATATTTTATAACATAATTTTGCAGATGACCAAAGACAAGGTAATTGAATTAACGAATTTCATTTTTATAGACAAAAATAAGTGTCTGTGAGGTCAAAAAGCCTGAACCTTAATTAATCACTGGGAATAGTAATATAATGTGATGAAAAGTCGTATGTTTTGATGCTATTGATTTGGTAAATTTTTTTCAACAGTGCAATTAAAATTTTCATGAGAAGGAAAGAAAGAGGCTTGGTAAAACATTTAATGTAACCAATTATGTATCTTTGTAAGGATTTTTTTGTACATAAGGAATTTGGTATCTGTATTTGATTGTTTAGAATGATTTACATTAAAATGAAATAATTACATCTGTGTATATTGATTGTATCTTCCTTTGACCACACACGTTTGTTGTTACAGAGAAAATTTCGTTATCAATACTGATTCGATTTTTAACACATTTTATGTAAAGAAACATATATGGATTGGACAGAAGACATTGTTTATTTATGAAGGTTAACAACTAAAATCCATGTAGCTATATCTTCTTTGATGAAAAGAAGCAACTAAAATCAATGGGTTTTTTTTTGTTTTTTTGTTTTTTTTTTGCATACATTGTATTTAATTTGTACAAACAGCTTCTTTATTAATACATTAAGAAACCACATGTTGAATCAGTGTTGATTTACAAGAAGAAAGAAGATGTTGTGTATCTTTAAGATGAAATTTGAATTTTGAAAAAAGGATAATGTGTTACGATAGAACTAAATGTTTATTGTTAAATAAAATATAACTATTTTAATTAGTCATTTTAAAAAAGTAATACATTTGAGTCTGTGTCACTCTTTCATCACTTTTACCTTTGCAGATATGTTTTATGTTTCATTTTAAAAATGTTATTTAAACATCTACAGATCATATCATATATCAGAACTTTGTAATTCATGTTTACTAAATTTTTGTAATAGCTAATTAATAATTAGATACATGTATTTTACTTGTTCATCTTAATCTGCTATATTCGTGTACATTGTAATATCATATAAGGTTTTAAAGATAGACTACATGTATTTTGTTTAAAAGGTCTTTGGAAAATACTCTGCAGGTACTTCTAGAAAAAAATAGATCTCATATATGGGATCAGTTCTTAAGAGAATAAGATTCTCTACCGTAAAAGTAAATAAATTCTCAAAATCTTAAAGTTGTTGGAATATTTCTCCCTGAAATAGAGTCTTGTGGGTGTAGTATTAATATCGTTTTTCTGTTTTGACAGTTGAAGGAAGAAAGGGCTGGTGACAACAAATATTTCTGCTGTCATTGTGTATAGTGTACAACTAACACTTAATGACGATATAATTTGGTAAACCCCGTCTTATGGTTAAGAATCCTTGTATGGCTGATGTAGCGTGAGTATTTGATATTATTGTAACACGACCACTGGGACACATTTTACCCTAACCACAATCATGACGCTCTTCTATCTTCCAAACTCCTACATACATACCTCGAAAGGGAGACCAGCCCAAAACTAGCGTGCTCAGAGTCACCCAGCGGACAGGTGATGTAATTGTAGATAGTATAAAAATAATGTTAAAAAGAATTTTATTTGTTAACAGTATAAATATCAATATATGGTGAGTTAAACCAACATGAAATTCTAAATTTACAACATTTTGTTTTATCATCATGCAGACAAGTATACGCTGGTTTGATTTAAGTAAAATATTAAAAGTGAATAGTAAAAATAAAAAAAACACATTTTGCAAATATTAACAATTACACGTGTATAAATATAGCAGAAGGCATTCTTGACATTTTTGTTTCTAAGTCCTATAGATAGTTTCAGTTTTTGTGTACCCTCCCTCGTCAGTCGGAGCTGACATCTATTTCCTCATCGGACGTTTCAGCAGACGACAGGTCTACGGCATAAGAATGGTTCACAACTAAGGGGCTTTCGTCTGCAGACGACCTACTCTCACAGTCTAAGCCACATTGTCGTGAATGAACCTTTCTATGTCGTTCCAAATTGCTCTTGTGACTAGTAGCATAGTCACACAAATGACAACGGAAGTCCTTTTTTCCATTATGAACAGAAAGATGTCTCTTTAATAAGGCTTTTCTACAAAATCGTCTTCCACAGTACAAACAAACGTAACCATGGGAATGGAATATCATAGAGTGTTCACGCAGAGACGCCTTTGTTCCAAACACTATTCCGCAGCATTCGAGGACTTTGGACGATTGTTGATGCATGGTCAGTAGATGTCTTTTAAGGTTGTTCCTTCTGTCAGTGGTGTATCTACACTGAGGACATGGAAACAGTTTTCTTCCAGCTATAACCGTGTTTTGTAAATCAACGAGGCTAGATTGAGATGATGGAAAACTCTGAAGTGGTTCCGGGTGTAGTGGACGACTAGAATATGACGATTTTTGATCAGCAAGTGTCGTTGCAGCTGCAGACGTGGCAACGAATGAAAGCGAGGCTTGAAGAAATTTCCAGTGGTGTTTATAGTAGTTGATGATGTCCGCAGTACTCTGGTGAAAATAGTGAGCTAACATAGACCCAGGGTCAGGCTTACATGGTGAACACTGTCCACTTTCTGATTTCCATGGCTGGAATAATTTGGTTTCTTTTTGGTTAGGTTTGGTGCCATTCTGTGTCTGTATTACATAGGGGTTAAAACTATAGGTTGGAATTGGTCTGAAAATAATGAAGAATAATGTTAAATGAAGATATAATTCAGTGAATATTTCTTTCAAAACAATCTCAAAGGGAAATTAAATCTATTGAATAAATGAAAATACAATATGATGATTTGACTGCATTCAAAAACGCATGGGAATTTTTTTTACACATGGTAAATTCTAAATTAGCTTAAAATTTAAACAATAAGTAACAATAATTGATTAAAATTTTGGTGTAACGCGCAATTTTTTTATCCAAGTACATGTGTAAATTCATGTAATTATACTCTTTATCACATCAACTTTGTTGCCTACGTAACAAATATAAAATTGTGACAAAAACGAATCAACCCGCTTGAGGTTACACTTGTATTTAAATTTCACACAATTTGAGGGTTTTTTTTAAGCAATCACCTTATTTACTTACATTAATTAAATGAATATTATATTTTAAGGAATTAACTTAATAGCTACCCAAATTATGCGCGTTAAATGTACTTCCCTGTTTAGAGAAAGGTAAAAAAAAAATAGTTCCAATCCAATTTATACAGTATAAATGTGGTAGTTTCTCGAATTTACTTTATTCTTGGAGTATTGAAATATCAAATACTCTATTTAGAGCAGTATGGTCGATTATAAAGAACTAAATGCGGTATATTGCCAATCTTTGCCCCAACAAAAATTAAATTTTGAAAAATTCTTGAAATGTGCTGAATTCTATAAATTATATGAGAAATATAAATCAACAGAACATATTATAGTTTCAAAGTAGTTAATCGACCATTTTTGTTTTTATGACGTCACAAACTAGTCCGATTTTATATCATTGTTTTAGAAAGAGGACAAAATGGACAAAATTTAAACAATCTTTAAAATTTATAGAGTGCAAGTTTGCGCAGGAACGACATTTACACATTTCATTGATATTATCATACTACACATTATATCAAAATATTGAGCCTGATCAGACCTGCGCCCGGTGACTTTTACTCAAAATATCGACGTAAAATGTACATTTTTCTGTAGAAATCATGGAAATTTTAAATCTTTACGTAATTTTTGGTGACGTCATTTTAAACATACGACGTCATTGCTTATAAAAATATCCAGTGCTTTGAAGTCAGCATATATCCCCCTGTTTAAGAACATAATTAAATATTTCTCCTTCAAAGTTTGATTTGGCGGGCAAATATTGGTTATTACCAAATAAAGTTCTTTAATATTTATTTTTAATATGATTTATCACTAGCATATGAACATTAATATTAGCATATTATTATCGTAATTGTAATTTAAGACAAAAGAAAAATGGAAGCCCATGTAAACATAATAAACAATAATATTAGAAGAGATATGCCAGTTTATTCACGAGGAAAAGTGAGATATATTTATTACGGACGTAAATCAGTTATAAATACCTAATAAACACCATAACGCAAATCAATATAGACATCGAAGTGAAGTTTTACAAGGTGGTGATGTCAGATTTTCGAGTGTTCATTATTTTCTCAAATTTTAGTGAAAATGAAGCATAATCGATAAAAAGCACTCAAAATGAGAAGCAATAAAACTTCTCTTCTAAGTTGGTTGGTATTTTATGACAAAACCCATATAAACATCACATTTTCCGCCCCATTACAGAGGGAAAACTCTCGTGGGTAATGATGAAATAATACGAGTCTTCTGTTTCGGAGTCGGCACAGAAGCTCCCGCTATAGTCCGACTTGCTAAAACACTGACGTATCTAATTAGCTTGTTGTTACTAATGGCTGATGATGATGCTCGGCAATTTGTCGAGATCTGTGTTCAACGTACCGTAAAATAAACAACCCAATTTATGAAAGATATATCGATGAATGATCATAAAAATAGTAATATAGTTTTTATTTCCGACGATAACAAAAATGAAACATATTATGGTTGAGTAACGATAAATATTATCATATTGATATGTATTAAAAAGTCAGATGGAGCCGGCGGTTTTCCCCTCCTGTATGTATATGTATCTTAAAATATAAGATGACATGTTAAAAAAAATCTATTTTCATGAACGACAGTGCAAAATTTAACTTTCACTTGTTGGAAAAACATATTTTGAAAAAAATGTATGTGCCTTTACATTCAATAAATATATGCATATATACATACATATGTTCATACATAGTTATGTACACGTATGAAAATAATAGTAACCAAACCTGTCATAATTATTTTACTATTTTTAAAAATTTTATTTTACAAACCTCTGTTCTTTAGATTTCTCTTCCTCTCAATAACACTATATTCAGAATTATTTTAAAGACTAACACAAAAAATATCAACACGTAAAAATGTACATATGTAAAGAAATAAAAAGTCTGACGATCGATCTTTAAAAATCTGTAAACAATACAAAACTATGAATAGGGCATGAAGCATGGAATCATAGAAAATATCTTAATTAAAAAAAACGTTTAGAAGAACTCTTTCTTTCGGTCAATACAATGATTTAGCCATCTTTGAAGTACAATATTCACCTCAACCCTATCTCATAAATAACTGCTATAGAATACTTGAAGCATTTTACTGTAATTTGCAAGTCAATAAGTATATAAGATACATAAAACTGTACAATTGTATTTAATAAATTATAATTTGGCACCTATTTTAAATTTTTTTACAGGTTCCTCTCCTTGTGGTTTAACACACTGATATTATCTACAGTGTAACGTGGTTAGATTTCCTAAAGATAATCTTTGCCAGTGCCCTATTTCATAGTAACATCTATCATTTTTTGTGGATTTGAAGGTTAATCCAAGCAACATTTTACTATAAATATGAAATGTGGATAATTATTTTGAACAGAAGAAAATGCTTTTGAAAATATTCAAGAAAAGAATCTGTATTCAAATAATAATTTTAAAAGTTAATAAATAAAATTAGAAAAAAAATGCAGAAATGAACAGTAAAAAAAATTAATTTCGATATGTAACAGGACTTAATCTGTTAATATGTATTATGTCCGATTTCAAAAAAAAAATTCTAATAAACATATTATGGAAACAATATAAAAATGAATTACATTTTTAAAATTCATTTCAAAGTCACTGACACTAATCTTTTGAGTTACAATTTTTAAATAAAATATACAGATTTGTTATATTTATTAAAAATATCAAAAACAAACGATAATTATTTTTATTAAACTTACAAAGAATGCTCGATTAATTTGCTACATAATTAAAAATAATAATAAAGTAACCACATACATTTTTAACATAAGATTTCATAACTAATCTACAGCGTAGACAGAAAAAAATTAATGCAAACATATCCTCTCGATCACGCTTTGATGAATTGCAATTTTTCAAATAAAATCAAAGTGGATCAGACAAAATACAGATGTAAATCTTTTTTGCACAAAAATGCTCAATCTTTTTTTATCATTGTCCATCTTCTGCGAAAAAGATTTTAATTATTAAGAACGAAACTAAACATTTTATATTTTAACCAGAATTGCAATAGGAATGCTAACAAACATTATAATTCCAATAATATTGTTTCAAGAAACTGAACTACCCCATCAGAAATTTTGAGACTCTGATATGACCTCGACGCAAACGATTGAATTTTTAAGAATCTCATTTTTCGAAAACTCGGACAAATCCCTAGTATTTTAGTGACAATGATTGTAAACAATTCAGTTAATGTTAACTAGTAGAACTTACCGAAGAGGGGGTACATTCCGAACGCCCGTCATTTCCATGGCAACAGTCTTAACATACGAAATAAAGATATTTCGTCTTTGATCTCAGTCTGATTATCTAATCGCCTTCACTTATGTATTATCTCTCTGACGATTGTCAATTTTTGTATTACGGGACACTAAAATTGGATATAGAAATATTTTGAAACCTTTATCCAATCAGAATGCGTTTTGTAATGTATGCGATGAGACATGTTCCGGATGAGCGATTCTGAAATGAAATAGGCGTCTTCTTTGGACGAAGCATTTCACGTCCCGATGGATTCATGACTAAACAACATTATTTTTAAGCTTTATCCACTTGTCCGGGATTTGGGGGAAACTGTTAATCTGATTTTTAATAATTACAAGGAGGGGTCTGATGTTGGGATAACACGGATTCCCCCAGTACGTTTGGATATTGACCCGTTCATGGTGGTCCTTAACGATTTATCTAAGAAGTTCTGTTCAGAATAAGAAAATATCATGGTGAAAATATGTTGGTTTTTTGTATTTTTTCAAGACAGCTATTTGAGCATATAATGTTCTCGTACATGTATATATAATGCCATATTAAATAATTATTTTTGCAAATAACTTATCTTATGCAGTATTTATGAAATAAATCTACAATAATTTTAAGAACAATAAAAAATACCCGGTAAACAATCAAATTTATGAAACAAAAATATCAGTAAACATGGCATGTTGTTAGTTTTCCTGTTTCACATTCTTTACTCGTGTATTTTGACAGATATTGTAAACAATCAAGGTATATACTTGATATCTTCAGCAACAACCATTACACAAATGTATTTGTAAACTACTTAAAAATAACTTTTAGCTAGATTAAATAAGAAAATACAACTAAGACAAACCTTATATTTATTGGTCTTTATTTATATATAATACATTTATCATCTTTTTTTCTTTTGTAGTTGCATTGTATTTTAGTACATGTAATACTGCCTTTCCATATTCTCGCCCTTATATGACACAGAAACATGAAAAAAGGTTTTCTTTTGTTTAAAAGTAAACACTTAGTAATATTTGATTAATACGACACCACTTGCCGGTAAAGGGCTGCAAATTCAGTCAGATCTTGCTGTTCTAGAGCATATTTTTTTTCAAGATGGTTAGTCGCCAATATTTGGATAGTTTATTTCCAATGTATGAGTAAATATACTTATTCTTTGATTTAAAAACGTAGAGCAAACATATATTATATTTTCACATAGCTTCTTTATCACATTGTAAGATTAATTAAATTCCATTTGACTTGAACATTAACATAAACGATGCAAATTATGAATAAAATGTCAATATCTGTTATAAGTTGCATGGCTTAGCAGTTCTTTAGATGAAAAAGTGAGTGATTTCACTTGAATTATTCCGATGTAATCCCAGGTGAATCGATTCCCTTTCTTTTTAACCATGTTTGTCCAATATATTTTCCATTAAGAAAGAGATAATCATAATTTAATAACTTATTAATGAAAAAATCCATTACATATATAATAAACAAATAATCTCTATCGGAAATCCCAACTGATTCAGTATTCAAGATCACGATCTGAATAAAACGAATATCTAAACAAAGGTAAATGTTAGTGTTTTCATTTCAGGCAGCATTTTACAAGTTCTAAAGGCGTTACAATGACCTTGTTTGAAAATCCAACTTTTCGGTTGATAATGTTTTTACTTGTATATCACATATTGTTAGACTATTGGATTGCACGTACTCCGTTTATCGAATCAATACAGGGCTAACGGCTTATGTTCTGGATGGGGATACTTACTCTTCCTGGTTATCTGATCCCATCACTGGAAAATCAAGACCTCCGTGATTGTACCATGTTCGAAATTCTTCTTGTTTGAAGATTTATAAGATTGATTATTATTCGTTATCTACCCCATTTACTTATTGGTCAAAGCAATGTTATTTGAACTTATTTCTTAACTACGTTTAACGATTCATATTGTACACTTATACACACTTATATTATAATTTATGGTATATTTTTACCTTGTAAGATGATGTTACTTATGAAATCTTGTTAATTTTAGTGAAATGTATAGCAACTGATTTTTTTTCCAATTTATCATAATGTCATACAATAAAAAGACTGTCATCGTCTATTAAATAATTGTGCAACATTCTTTACAATTGAAATCACTAATACACTAAATATGTACAAAGTCATAAAAAATCAAAATCATAAGAAAGTCATCATTTATAAGTAAATAAAATAAAAGTATAAATAAAATTAACATACAAATGTATGTAAAGGCAAACATAAGGTAAAAAAAGTATCTATGGAAGGAAATGTAAGTAGAAAAGTACACATAAAAGTTTCAAATTTATAGGCAAATGTAAGTATAAATAGATATATGTATCTTAATCTTACTGTTAATTGAAACAAGTTAAATTAATAAGTTAAACGTATAAAAAGTAAAATATATATCAATTAATGTAAACATATTGAACCTGATACACAATCTGACGATTTACATAGTGTAAGAGGGGCGTGTTTCCTTCGTTCGTGATTTGTATTTTTTCAATGGACTTTTTAACTTGGTTACTGTTCGATGTCTCTTTATACCACGGAATATAGCTATAATTTAATGTTAAATAAAATTAAAGTAACACATGAGGGGAAAAAAATTATGATAATGAACAATAAGCAATCTGTTATAAATTATATAAGCAATAGAAATCTGAACAGCGCAACACGGACCCCCTGAAAATTCCAAAGATGTGATTAGCTGCCTACGAGGAGTAGGATTTCTCTCTCACACACTAGCTGTGAACCCGATGTATTGAGAAGAGTCAGAAAGTATTAAATCGTTTATTTTATTTAATATCAATAGTAAAATATACTACAAATATATGTTAACATAAACATAAGTGATAAATCTATAAATAAATGTTATCCATGAATAAAACAACCCTACTGAATTAAGGAATCACTGTCTAGTTTTGAGAGTATGCCAGGGCATCAACAATGGTGGGAAACATGGGATAATTTGCATAACCCGTTATGCTAAAATTATCCCATGTTTCCCACTATTGTTGATGTCCCTGGCATACTCTCAAAACTAGACAGTGATTCCTTATATTTCCATTTCATTGTAAAATAAAATTGTAGATTTAGACTTTAAAAATGTAGACATAGATTTAAATCACACGAGGACTTTCATGCTAATTTCAATAGTCCTCGCCCACTGACGTCAAACACAAAGGCAGCCGCACACAAAACGAGATTTGCATGCGTATTAGGCCTCCTTAGCTTGACCTGAAAAATAATTTATATATATATGTAAATATATATAAAAATATGTAAGCATTTGAAAAATAATTTATATATATGTAAATATTAGATGAATAATTGAATAAATAAAGGGCATCTATAAGTTACACATTAAAAGAATATCATAAGTAACATTAACCCTTTCACTTCTAGAAGTAATTGTACGCATAACTTTTTTAAAAATCAAAGAAAAAAATTATATATATTTTTGAATAAAAGAAGCAATTTTGAATTTGAATTGAGCAGAAATTAGAGTAATATTAATACAAGGATTTGATTAAAAAATGTAGGCATGACAAAAATTTAACATTCCTTCTATTTGGTTTAAAGAAATATCGATAAGAAATTCAAGCAATTATAAATAAAATGAATTTTTAATATAAATTTTAAAAAAAAAACTTATCAAATGTTAAATAAAAAAAAACACTTTTCTTAATTTCGAAGTACGTGTATTAATAAGCAGAAATATATGCATATTAATGTAAACATAAATGAAAGTAATACACATAAGGAATAAGTAGACACAAGTAAAAGAAACATATATGCTATATATACTCTATGTTAGTTACAGTATAAAACAGAAAAGTTACTTATCTATAATTCAATAGAATGACAAAGTTAAAAAAAAAAGTAACGTACAAATTATTGATCACGTAAAAGCCAAACACAATGCTAAGTGAACTTTGCCGAAAGACACGGACGCAAGGAAATTCCAGGAGATGGGATAGGGTGTCTAGGGGGTATAAGTCACCCCTGTCGACCAGTCATACCTGCTAGAAACTGTATGTATTAAACAGGTAAAAAGGATAATCTATAGTCAAATTTAACATTTAAAAGAAACTGGTACCGAGACAGTCAAAGTATGACCCAATCACAGTTTGTATTTGCAAACAAGATCACAAAAACGACCTTAGAATTCGCGAAATGTTGACATTGAATGAGTAATTAAGGTAGGATTCTTCTCATATTTCTAACATTTAAAAATTAATGAAATTTTCACAAAATCAAGAAGACAATATCAGTAAGTGATAGTATCAGTGAAATTAAATTTGACCGTTTTATATTAGAAGCAAGGTCAGGTCAAGGTCATTATCTTTCTCCTTGACATTAATAATAAAAAATAACTGTTGCCAATCATGTGATACCTACTTTTATTTCAAAAGTTTAATGATTGTTCTTTTTGCATAAAAACATATTACTATATCGGGTCTATAGCATGATATTACCAAATTTACATAAATAATTTAACTTAACTGGATATTGGTTAATCCGAATTTTCTCTGTTTTTCTTAATTTTTTTTAGGATATATTAGTAATTTTCATATGCTTCCTATATTTAACTTTTTCTTATTTTCACATATAATAAAGTAGTATTATAAATGTACAAAATGATACAAAAACAAAAAGTTTTGATCGTTTACTAAGAGAGAAAAAATACTTTTTATGGATTTTTGGCTCAAATCTGCACTTTGATAGGAAGCGCTTAAAAGCTAATAAAGTTGTAGTTTATTTGAAAAATCATTATTAGGGGATATTTAAAAAGTTTAGTCCCTCATTATTAATCTAACTTACATATGAAAATTTCTCCAAGTCTTCGATTGTGTAAAAATTATAACTAAATTCATTGTTCTATTATAATTTTGAGAGGCAGAAAAGAAGATATTTTCATACGCCACCATTCCGCCAAAAAAAATATAGTCCCTGCTAGTTTTCAAACACACTTTACCATTTCTATTTAAAGTTGTACAATTGTGATGAGGAAAGAAAAATATGGTCTTTTAAATTCCTTACACCTCAATATGTAAGACATATAAGCAAATATGCTTTGAATGTTTCATCTTGTCAGAAACCAGAGAAGAATCCTATCTTAAGCTAAATGCTGTTCAACTGACTTTTTCATGTTAGTTTTAGGGCAATTATTTACACACTGAATTGTCCACAGATTTTTCCCTTTTATCCCGATCATGATAAGGAGCACAAAGCAGGTGTGACGGGACGATAGTGCTCACTCC